TTGAGATCATGATGCCAAACAAAATAACTCCGACACGGGTTACATATCTCATGGTTTCTCTTGTACGAGAAAGCCAAAGTACAAATAACTTAAAACAGAAGCCAAGTGCTGGGAAATGGGGAGGTAGGACTTTGGCAGGTGGGAAGGGGATCTGGAGACAGAGAAGAAAAGGGAAGAAGGCAGGAGCGAAGAAGATGGGAAAGAAAAAAGGACAAAAATGTGATTTGCATGTCACGTGCCACTCCTCACGATGAACATATTCATTATGTATCACAAACATATACTAAAAAAACTGTAAGTAAAACAGTGATTGAAAATAAATTGTGGTGGGGCAAATAATGCTCCCACACCTCCCCCAGATACCCACATCCCAAAGCCTGGAATCAGTGAGTATGTTACAAAGGGACTGTGACAATATTCAAGATTTTTTGTTTTGTTTTGTTTTGTTTTTTTGAGACAGTCTTGCTATTAGAAGATGGGAAAGAAAAAAGGACAAAAATGTGATTTGCATGTCACGTGCCACTCCTCACGATGAACATATTCATTATGTATCACAAACATATACTAAAAAAACTGTAAGTAAAACAGTGATTAAAAATAAATTGTGGTGGGGCAAATAATGCTCCCACACCTCCCCCAGATACCCACATCCCAAAGCCTGGAATCAGTGAGTATGTTACAAAGGGACTGTGACAATATTCAAGATTTTTTGTTTTGTTTTGTTTTGTTTTTTTGAGACAGGGTCTTGCTATGTAGCTCAGACTGCTCTGGAGCTCACTGTGTAGCCCAGGCTGGTCTCGAACTCACAGCAATCCTCCTGCCTCAGCCTCCCAAGTGCTGAGATTACAGGTGTGCGCCACCACACCTGGCATTATTCAAGATCTTGAGATGGGAAAGTACCCCGGCTTCAGTGCGGGTGCTGACATGATTACAAGGATCCCTATGAAAGAGGAGGGGGGCCCATCAGAGTCAGGTAGATGAGCGGAGGAGACGGAGGCAGAGGTTGGGATCGTGCATCTGAAGACGGAGGAGGGGGTCAGGAGCCAGCCAGAAGCTAGAGAAGAAAGACAAGGAAACTGATCCTCCCTGGAGCCTGCAGAAAGAATGCAACTCTGCCAATAACTTGATGTTAATCCATCAGACCTGTTTCTGACTCCTGACCTCCAAGCTATATGATAATGAATTGGCACAGTTTTAAGCTACTAAGTATGTGGTAATTTGTTACTGCAGCAATTGAAAACCAAGACACTGGCTTACACACTTGCACCTCTAACAGAGCTTTGCTAACTCAATGGCATTGCTTCAAACAAAGTGAATTTTGAAACATCTGGCAGGCTCATAGAAGAGTGTGTGTGTGTGTGCGTGTGTGTGTACGCGCAGGTGTGTATCTGTCTTGCAGTGTGTGAGTGGGAGAGTGTTGTAAGTAGCTGTTGGGCAACCTGGAGATTCATCACAATGGCAAAATCTGTTCTAACAGAGAGAAGCCCAGGCAGTTAATGCTATACCCCAGGAAGGATTCTGACCCAGGGGCCCAGAGAGCCCTGGTCAGCATGGACCCCATAGAGCCTTCCTCCTTTCCGGTTTCACATCCCTCATCCTGCCTTTATCTGGGAGCCAGTGGCTGCAGTCTTTGTTTCCCAGGAGCTGACTGTCAATCTGACTAATTAGGGTGGTGCAATGATCAGAAATGGGAACCATAAAAAGAAAACTTGCTGAGCGGTTGGCTATGCCTATCTCTCCCCATTAATAAAGGAAAGGTGAGATTTTGTATCAAATCTCAGCTCTAATGTTGCCTGGCTGGTTTTTATTGGCCATAGGAGACTGTGGGCAGGAGATACTGGAACAGTTCAAAAGCACTTTATTGTACAAGATTTACTTTGCATTCAGCAAAGCAAATTTGCCCTGCTGCAGGTTAGCTGCTAGTGGGCACCTGAGAATTTTGTTTTCAAAAAATATAATGACTTGCTGGGAGGAAAACATAAAGAGCTCTGCTATTCAATGAGACCGACACTTTACCTCTGGGGTCTTCCTCTCAAGAATCCATTTACCCCGACTCCTTTGACTCAGGGTCTTGCTCTGTGACTCAGGTTGGCCTAGAACTCCCAATTCTCCTGCCTCAGCCTCCCAAGTGCGAGGACTACAGGCCTGTGTCACCATGCTGGATGCATTCCCAACTTTTAATCAAGAGAGGAACAACCAACACATCCAAATTGCAAGACATTTACAAAATACCTGATGAGCTTTCCTGAAAACTACCACACACGTCAGCAGTGACAGAGACTGCCATCCCCGCTACGTGTGCAAGGTCTAACTCCCTCTGCCCCTGGCCTCTTAACTCCAAGGATCCAAGGGGAAGAGCTGTTCTACTTTCAGGAAAACACATACATTCAGTAAACAAACTCCAAGACTCGTCCATACAGTGCTCAGGAGACAGGACCGGGGCAGGTCCTCCCCCTTGATTGCTGTCTGTGCATGTGGAAGTGACCCGGGTTGATTGACACCGTGCTTGGCAGTTCCCACCACTAATGGATCTCCTGAGGACCTTGTTAGGGGCGGTAGGTTCTGGATGGGGCCCAAGAGTCTGCTAACATTGTCCTGTGCAGCTGACGAGACCGGACCATCGACTGTGTTTTGAAAGCAAGAATTTGAATCCATGATTCTCCGATTATTTTGTCCCACAAGGGGACCTGTGGCGATGTATGGAGCCACAGACAGGTGTGGCTGTCACCACTGGGAGGCAGATGCGTGTGGCATCTGGGTGGTGGATAGGATGCCGCTCAGCCTCCTGCTATGAACAGGACGGACCCAAAACAAAGAGTGATCAGCTCCACACCGTCCACGCACTGAGACTGAGGAACCTTGGTCTAGATCGGGGGTTTGATAGGGGGTGCATCAGAATCACCTGGAGGACCTGATGGAGCTCCGCAGCACAGAGTTCTTGAGTCAGCAAGCCTGGGGCCCCTGAGACTGCACCTAGGAAGCATTCTCGGGCAGTGCTGATGCTGCTGGTTCCCGGATGCACTTTGAGAACTGGTCTTGCTGACTCTGAAGACCCGTGTAACTCTAGTGCACCTTGCTGCCTCCACTGACCCACACAGGAGAGCACAACTCCTCATTCAAAAGTGCCCAACGCCTCACCAGGCGCAGTGGCTCACACCTGTAATTCCAGCACTCTAGGGGGCTGCAGCTGGAGGATTGCATTTTCTTGGTCAGCCTGGGCAAGTTACTGACCTTGGTGAGGCACTGTCTCGAAATTAAAACCAAAACAAAGGGCTAAGAATGTGGGTCAGTGCAAAGGCCCTGGATTTAATCCCCAGAAAAAGAAAAAAAAAATACCCAGCACAGATCTTATGGATTCCAACATAGAAAAGGCATGGCTGCCCTATGATTCTTCAGATCTAGAGATGAGGCAGAATTAAGGTGGAGCGGAACCAACTCTAACTTGAAGGCTATTCTTCATACATTTGACTTTGTGTATAGGTAGGTCTACTTTTTGTTTTGTTTTTTTGTTTGTTTGTTTGTTTGTTTTTTGAGACAGGGTCTCACTATGTAGTTGAGACGGACCTGAAACTCACTGTGTAGCCCAAGCTGGTCTCAAACTCAGTGAACCTCCTGCCTCGGCCTCCTGAGTGCTGGGATTACAGGCATGCACCATCATGGTGGTAGATCCACTTTTAACAGAAACTAAAAGTCTTTGCCTTGAATAAAAACAAAGTATTGAGAAGATAGTCTACCCACCACTGTACTGCCCTCCCATCTTCTATACCTAGCAAGTAGCCCACTACATGTCAGAACTGTGTACAGGGACATAACCAGGAAGGTAAAGAAAAACGGCCATCTGTCTAAGATGCCATCTTGCTGGGCCTGTCACCAGGAAGCTGGGTTCTAACATCACAAGGTCCTAACTCAGGGAGGAACGGGTGACACAGTTTGATTCTTTGTGTCTCTGATAAAAGATTTTAGACAGGAAACACAATTGTACAGAATATAGGTAGAGTGTATTAAAAATGATAGATTTTGAGAGAGAGAGAGAGAGAGTGAGAGAGAAACAGATATCTTCAAGCATGAAGTGGGCAAGCACCAAGATGGCAGTTGCAGGGAATCAGGGCTCAGGTTATCTTTCCTTTCCTTACTCCGAGGTTATTGTTCTTGTACAAGGAAAATGGGCACTGCTGACTAACTAGGTCCTCATTTACTCCCTAGGTAGATGCATCTCATTTAGTTTGTTGTGAGACTTTGAGGTTTTTTCCAACCCCTCACTCATGGTCTGGAGCTTGTTCAGCCCTGAACTTGTTGTGAGACTTTGAGGTTTTTTCCAACCCCTCACTCATGGTCTGGAGCTTGTTCAGCCCTGATGCACTTATTAGCACTTATTAGCACTCTCAGAGGAGGTTACTGCCTTTTGAGGTAAAGTTTGAAACCACAAGCTTTTGCGGGTTTTACCTAAAGAGTAAGAAAGCAGAGGAAAAAGGGAAAATCATCATGTCCTCCTTGCTCTCCAAGCAGCCCCCAGCTGTCTGTCCTCAGGCCTGCTGACATTCTGCCTAACAGGTCTGTGAAAAGGGCACAGACCTTGGTGTAACTGTACCACCCAACCCCTCTGCTCTCCTCACACGAAATAGCTTAGAAAAACAGTCCTGATTAATCGAGATGTCCTGGGCACAAGCAGACACAACGCCCCCCACGAACCCACCCACCCCTCTGTGGGACTTGGCACCGGTCATTTGGTCCCGCAAAGCCTTGGCTTACAATCTGTGGGGGACAATGAGTAAGGACTTCTCTGGTTATTGCGAGGAGTCACGCAGGCAGCAAAAGATGCGTCTGACCTGCTGTGTGCCAGCACCAGGGGTAAAAATGTGAAGAAAGCAAACTAAACCCCCTGCCCTGGTTGCTCACTGGAGGCCCTCAACATTTTTAATTGAATTTACTAAGGGAAATGAATGGAGGTACCTCTTTCCTAAGAGATCTGTCCAACACAGGCTCAATCCAGTCAAAAAGCAAAGCTCGGGTCAGGCCAGGCAGCTGAAACGAGGAAATGGAGCCTGGAGAGGCCTTCTCCAGGTTGAATTATTTTTAGCTCAATATGGTACAGGGAAGCAGCTCCCCGGGCTTTAAATATTAAGAGTTTCATTATGACTATCATTATGACTATTTATTACCATGAGCTGGACAGTGTAGGAGACAGAGTTCCTCAGTATGACTGGCTGAGGCAGAGGTGAGGCTGGCTGGGTCAGAAGCCTGTCCTTTTGGGCAAGGAGCTGGGGACTGGTGACTCTCAGTAGACTGATACCTCCTACAAGTGGGGCCTGTGGAGCAGGCCCTGTGCTGGGCACGGGGGTCAAGCCACATTGTGGACATGGATGCTAGGTGACTGGCTCTGCAGCCCACCACCAGACAGACCCTCCTGAGAACCACCCAAGGCCAGGAATCCTTTGCAGAAGAAAACTTCCTCTAGAAAATGGCTAAGAGCTCTCACTGGACATTACAGAGATTGGGCCAGAGCCTCCACGGCCCACCATCTTGGTTCCTGTCAGTGGCTGGTAGCCGGGAGCCAACCCTGTCTTTTTTCTCCTTCCTCTGCCACGGCTCCTCTTTCAGAGTTCCCCCAGTTCCACTGGCCTCCCGGTCCCCTCTACTTTGTCCCAAGGTAATGTCCAGTGTTCTGGTCTTGTGAGTACTCACCCAGCCTCTGTCCCCTTCTCTCTGACTCTACCCCCTGCTGTCCATGTCTAGCCAAGTACGACCGATTCTTCCAGGGCTGGGGTCAGCGGATACTGACGGGTAGCTGTTATCGCCCTCACAAACACTGAGCCAGTAAATTCACCTCTTCGGGCTCCCTGTTGGTCTTCTGGGGGTTATTTTTAATCCAAGAGAAAGACAGATGTCGAAATATGCAGCACTGTGAAAAAAAATGTGAGGAGGGGATAAAACACAGAAGGATGAGAGCATTTACTCCCACTGAAGTGGCTGCCACAGTCACACTAACCCCAAGAGATAGACATTATTGAGGCCGATTCTCACAAATGAGGAATCTGTAGGTAAGAGATCGTTTAGGGACATCGGTTGGTTGGTTGGTTTTGGTTTTGAGACAAAAACCCAGGGTCAGGAGCCTGGAGAGCAGGCTTCTGATGCCCTCACTCTCCCTCCTTCCCCCAAAGCCCTAGTCTGTGCAGTGGAGATAAAGTATTCGGAGGCAGGGATGAACGCAATCAAGGTGCGCCCTGTGAGGAATCACAGTCTGGCCCCAGGTAGCAACTCTACCTAAGAGGCCAAGCCAGCCAACTCTGACCTGGGGCTACTGGCCCTCAGTGCCCTGCTTCTCTGAGTGTTGTAGTCAGAGTTTGCAAGGGAATGGATTTAAAACAGGACACATAATTTATGGGATTATGTTATAATTTTCACCCAAAAAATCAAAAACTCGGGAATGCAAGAGATCTGTCCACACACTAGAGGCCCAAAGAATCTAGCTGATGGCCTGGATCCTGCAATGTTGTCCCTCACAAGTCCAGCTAAATGCCTAGAGCCCAAGACAATGTTCTATGCAAGTCTGTATCAAGGATCTGCACTGGGAAGGCCCAAAGATCAGTGATGGAAACTAGAAAGTCTGCACCAGTGGGGTGAAGGATCTGTGCCACCAGACTGAGGGATCGACACTGGAGCCAGGAAGTGTCACCCAAGGTGAAGACCAGAGCTCCCTTGACAATAACAGCAGCCATCCTGGCTACAGCAAGTTTCTCTGAAAATGAGAACAACCAAGTTCATATCAGGAAAACCAGCCACAGCAGGCTTCTCCAGGAAAATAATAGCATACAATCTTCCCCTCCGTTCTCCTCTTATGCCATTGGCAACAATCCTCAGGGGGGCCTTCCACACCGAGAACCACACTGACTCGGTTAAGCTTGGTGTTCCAAGTTGACCATTAGCTAATCCCCCACACTGAGCTCTGCCTGGGGACAGGCTGGTGGCAACTTAGCTGGCCAACTGAAACAGTTTCAGCCTAACAGCTGGTAGCAGCCTAAAATGTCAGCCCTCCTGGGCTCCACTTGCATTTGAAAAGCCACCTTCATTCTGATGCCACTCGGGGAGAGCGATGTGTTTGAGAGAGAAACGGGGCCTGAAAAAGACCCAGAAAAGTGCTGAGTTCCCCACATGCTATTTTTCCATTCCTCACTCAAGCCTTCCCACCAAGGCTGCTTCTTGGTTCTTTTGCATTGTAGCAGGAAGGGCTCCTGGCTCTCAGGGCCCCCTGCCTGCATCTTTTCTGGCATAGCAGCTTAGCTTCAGCTAAGGCCCTTAATTAGACAAGGGCTCCAGCGGCTAGGCTCCTCCTCTGTCCCTGCTTCCCTGTCTAGAAGGGGTCCTTTCTATTCTTCCTGCTACCTCACCTTCCCAGCCCCACCTCACATTTCCCCAAAACTGCCCTGGATTTCTTTGTCTCTGAGCCAGCTCCCTCACAAGTCCAGCTAAATGCCTAGAGCCCAAGGTAACTACTATACCCCTGCATCCCAGCTCCAGAGCTGGTTCCTGATCATCCCCTCTATAGACTCCCCTCCCCTGCATATGTGACATCCATACTCCCACATGACAAAATGGAGATCTGCTTTGGAGCGAAGAGATTCAGGTGTGACTCTCAGCTATGACTCCTGATCACTGTGGCCTTACTCAGGACACATCATCTTGTAGCCTCAGTTCACTCACCTGAAGAATGAGGAGCATATCAGTTTTCCCTCTGCAGGACACAATACTCAATACCCACAACTTAAAAGACAAATTCATTTCGGCTGTTTAGAGTTTAGAGGGTTCAGCCCATGGTCAGCTGGTCCCAAGGCAGAAACATCATGATGGAAAGACATGTCAGAAGGAAATTGCACACCTAATGGTATCCATGAAGCAGAGAAAGAAAGGAGGATCTGGGAACAATAATGTACCCTTCTAAGTCATGTCCTGTTACTCACCTGACCAGGTCCTACCTCTGAACATGAGACTTTTGGAGGACAGTTTAGATCTAAACCGTAACACTCTACCTGTGGCCCCACAAAGACTCATACACAACTCTTTAAGCAAAATGCATTTATTTCATCTCTAAGAGTTGCCCGAGTCAACAGTCCTAACATTACTGAAAAGTCCAAGCTCAAAGTCTTTTCTGAGACTCAAGGCAAACTCTTAGCTCTAAGCCCCTTTTAAAATCAAAAGACAGTTCAACACTTTCAACATACACAAAGGGTAAACATTCTCATTCCAAAAAGGACAAAGAGCAGGATAGAAAGGAATCAGACCAAAATAAAACCAAAAACAGCAGGGAAAACACTGAAGCCTATAGCTCCAAGTCCAGCACCCATGGCAGGCTGTAGCGGGGTGTGAGCTCCAGCCCTGCTCCTATGGCCTTGCTGGTTGCAGTCCACATGGCCTCACTAGGGCTGGGTCCACTCACAGCCTGTGGCTTCTCCTCAACAGATGTTCCATGGTCCTGGCATCTCCAATTTCCTGGGGTCTCCACTGCACCTTTGGCTTCTTTCTTACAGCTTCATGCACTGCCCTTTCATAGGCTCCTAGCAGGGACTATGAACCTGTCACACATTTTTGCCTGAAGATGATTATGCACAGATACAAATTCCCTATGATGAATTTGATCAATATGTATGATGAATATGTACTAAAAGTTTTTTAAAATTTCCTCCTCCAGATTAGAGGATGTCTTAGGTCTAAACCACAACAAGGAGGACACCTACCTGCCTACTTCAGAGAGTTGTAGGGAAACGAGGTGCTGCCAGAGGGGCTCCATGAATGATGCTTCTCTTTTCCTCTCCTGACTTCAGAACTCATTGAGGAAAAATGCAAAAATGAACCAATATGTACTAATAAAAACTTTAAAATTTTGTAAATGGCTCACCAAATTTTATTGGTAGAGCGGAATCGGAGAACACAGTTAGCTGTGTAACTAAGCTAATAAATCTCTCCTGAATGCAGCAGGTTGAGCTAGCTCAGGAAGCAGCTCCCCAGACTCCTGGCCAGCAACCACCATACTGAACACACACAACCCAGGGTGGCCAAGCCTTGGCCCAGCCCAGCAGCAGCAACACCTCTGCCCCTCACCTCTCTGCTGCCTGGATGGCAGGCCAGATACAGCAGCTCACACTTGCCATGTATTTTTCAAATGACATTTTCCTGGGAGTGAAAACACAGTACGTCACTTTAATGCAAGATGGTGGAACAAAAGGACAGCTCTGAGGGAGGCGTTTCAAGCTTCTGCCATTCAGGGAGCCGCATTGTATACCCCATGGAGAAGCTGCTGTCTCTTCATTTCACACTGTGTACCCCATGGGAAAGCGTTAGGCTTGCGGTGCTTGCTGGGGACCAAGCTTCATATCACAGGGTTCTGTGGCCTCGGTCTGATAGAGGGGCAGAGGTATGAACTGAGGGGGCTAGTGGATCATTCTCTAGCAGCTTCTGGGACCCACAAGGTGAGGATGAGCCCAGCGGTGAGGAAAGGGGTGTTCACATTGAGCAGGATTCAGTGTGGGGTGAGTGAAGCTGGGGGACAAGCCAGCAGGAGGATGACTGCGCAGGATGACGGGCAAGCAGTGGGAACGGTGTCCCCTGAGCAACCAGAGCTGCAGCAGGATCCGCTGCCATGGGCTGAGCAGCACCAGACCCTGCATCAGAAACTAACAAGCATCCCTCACTCGTCCTCCTTCTGTTGTGTTGGGTGGAGACTCCAAGACCCAGGAGCACAATCCAGAAGAGGTGAGCTTGGATATTTTTTCTTTTTCCAATACCAAGAATCAAACTCAGGACCACGAAGCTACATCCCTGGCCCAAGCCTGGATTTTTTGAAATTTGTCTCTTTCACTGAAGTCTACATCTAGAAAAATCGCCCACCCTAAGGGCACAGCTTGATGGGTGATCACTGAGGACCCAACGGTGACCACCACCCAGGCCCAGAACCTGCGCCTTTCCATTCTGAAACTCCTCTCGTGCCCTCATTGCCTTCCTACCTCCGGCCCAGAGGAAGGCACTATCCTGGCTTCTTGCTCCAGATTCATCTCTGTAGTTGAGATTTGTACCCAGCTCTGTTAGAACCCTGAGACCGTGATTTTTAATGGCATCATCGTGGGTGGGTGGATGGGTGTCCCCAGGATGCACAGGAGAGTCTACCATCATGCCCCAGTCCACGCTGTCCTCCCTCAGTATCCCCGGGGGTGAGGGAGACGGGTGGCCGCTCTACAGAGAAGTGTGGAAAAGGCATGGGGCCACCTGCATCCAGGGCAGAAGAGCCCCCACCCACACTCCAGGAAGGAAGCGTGCACCTCCTAGGTCAGGGAGGGTCCCCAAAGCCCAGCTTTCGGAAAACACAATCTAGGGACAAGGACATTTTTTTGGAAAGAGCAAATGCAAAGCCCTGGGAAATCACCCTGAATAGATTTAACCATATTCAAATTTAAGGGTATCAGTTTGTGCAATGTAAAAACAAACTTTAAGGGCCGGGGTTGTAGCTCAGTGGTGCTGCACCTGCCTGGCAATCATAAGGTCCTGAGTTCAATCCCCAGTACCGTTAAAAAAAAAACAAAACAAAACAAAAAAAACTTTATAGTCACTGCACAATAAAATTAAGGTTCTACTTTATTAACTGGGCTGTAAGGGTCCCCCTACCCTACCCACTGTCCTCCCTCACCCCTTGGCCCCTGTTCTGACACAAAAACAAAAACCAAGCAGACTTCGCTGAGGCCATTGGCATGGGTTCCTCTGAAGCCCTAAGCAACGTCGCCCCCATCTGTGCTCTCTGCACCCCTCACAGCTCAGCCAGCTCTGCCTCCCCCCGGGGGGACCTATGTGGACGCCTCCTCCCAGCACCCTCACTTGGGGTCAGGTCACCCCCTGCCCCCCTCAAGGGCGTCCAGC